CCCCAAAACCCCAAAACCCCAAAACCCCAAAACCCCTTGATTTTTTGGAGAGATTGAATAATAATTTTTATGATATCCAGTCGATTTTTAACAAGAACATTAAATTTAAATCGTGCTTCTTGAACAAGCCTCTACAGTATGCTAAATCTGCTTATTAACTCACTTCCAGGCTACCCAGACCTCTGAAATATATCATATAGGGAACTTTGTCACAAAGAGGGAAAGAAATGAAGATGTGGAACTATTTTACCAAGTTAACGAATCCCCCAATCCTGGGACTAATAGTACCTAAGTAACATAACTATAGAATACATGTTCTTTGTTCATGGATTTTTGGGCAATTGGATGAACTGGAGATCAATCTCTTCAAACAGTAAGCTCGTCAGGTCAACTTATAGAGAACATTAGTATGAAGAGGTACTCATGAGATGGTAATCCTATAGACACTGTGTCCTTTTTGATCAAAGAAATCACGGAGACTCCGACCATCACCCACAAATGGACTATGGTGTCATGTCAGATGATTTCATTAGGCTAGCAGATAAGCTAAATATTGATAAATTTACCGTCCTTGGTCACTCTATGGGAGGCAAGATTGCCATGGCCACCGCTTGAAAGTACCCTGATAGAGTTGATGGACTCATGATGGTAGATTCAGCTCCTATAGACTACAACAACTTTGACAGATACATTTCTGAAGTTATAGGAATAGTTGATGTCATTAAAGAATACAAAATAGAAGGAATGACTAAGAAAGAGCTACTCGATAAACTTACTAAAGACCTACCGATACCAGGCATTCCTTTCTTCATCATGAAGAATGTGGAAAGTGAAGGAACCAAAGTACTCGGTTGGAAATCTAACATGGAAGTGTTGGCTAAAAATTTGGAAAATATTTTTGATTTCACAGATTTTGGAATGTACGATGGTCCAGCAAAAGCCATATTAGCAGGAAGAAGTAAAATGAACTTACTTGATTATGACTATTACTTTCCATATATGAAACAAGAGGACATAGTCTACATTGAAGGAGCAGGACACTGGGTCCATGCAGATAAACCAATCGAGACAATTAAGCAGATTTCTTCCTTCCTTGATGAGATAGATCAAGAGTAACCATAAACATTTTATTCTCAATCTGGAATAAAGAGTAGGGGTTTTGGGGTTTTGGGGTTTTGGGGTTTTGGGG